TCCACAGTAGAAAGGAAGGATAAACTGAAAGGAATATGATAAAATATTTTAATTAAATATCTAAAATCTCTAAAAGCATAACTACTTTCTTGATGAAAAATTTATTTTTATTGTTTCCATTATTGTAACAGGTTTAATAATTACATGTGATTTCCATGACTTAAAACCCACCTATTTAAGGTGTAAAATCCCAATATATTTAGAATGCTTATGAGTCATGTAGCGATCTGGAATCATACAATTTAGGGTGTTGTATAAGTGACTTCTTTCACTGAGCATAACTTTTTTTTTTTTTAATGGTTTTTAGATTCATTCACGTTGTAGTGTGTATTTTCTTCTTTTTTTTTTTTTTTGCAGCAGTATAATATTTTAGAGTATGGATATGCCATATTTTCTTTGTTCACTTATAATTTCATTGGCTTTTTGATTGTTTCCAATTGTGGCTACTAGGAACATTGCTACACATGTTTTTGGATAAACATGTTTTTCTTCGGGGTTGATACTATAAGTGGAATTGCTGGCTCATGTGGGAACTGTATGTTTATGAAGAACTGCTAAACTCTTTTCCAAAGTACTTGTTATATTTGTCATTGCCACCAACAAAGCAAGAGTCTTCCAATTCCTCCACACTGTGGCCAACATGTATTATTATCTTTTTGTTATAGCCTTCTTAGTGGGTGTGAAATGATCTCTTACGGTTTTTGATTGAATTTTCATTACAGCTAAAAATGTGGAGCATTGTTATATGTGCTCATTGACCATTTATCTTCTTTGGAAAAATGTCTATTCCAATCCTTGAAACATTTTTAAACTTTGCTACTTGTCCCATTATTGACTTTTAAGAACTATTTATATATCATGAATAGAATCTTAGATATATAATTTTCAAATATTTTGTTTCATTCTTGGTGTGCTAACTTTTTACTTTTTTAATGATGGCTTTTGAAGTACAAAAAAATTATTTGTAATAAATTAAATTTTTAATAATTGATATATTTATACTCCAAAAGGGTACAACGTACAATATGTCTACCCAATCCAGCTCCCATCAACTCAGCATTTATAACTACTATCAATAATGTTTTTATGTAAGAAAGGTATCACCTAAAGGAATGCTTTTATAACAGATTGTACCATAAAGCAGGTTGGACCAATATAAAAGAAATATAAAATAAGGTGGTTTATTTAAATGTAAATATACAGATACTTCCATTAAATCTAAACAGACTGTAAAAAGAGGAGCAAATAATGAGAAATAACAGAAAACATTAGAAGAACACAGTTAACAAATGGAACCTTATAATGTAACATGATACACACACACATGCATGCATATATATGTATATAAATATGTGCACATGTATGTATTATATACATCAACTGGAAGACATATTTTCTTAGAGCATGTTGAATTGTTAATAATTATTTGAAGTGACCTGTGGTGGGCCATAAATCAAGACTCAGTAAATTTGAAAAGATTCAATATCATAAGGAATATATGATCCAGCCTTAATGGAAGAAAGGGAGATTTTTTAAAAGTATAACTAAAATATCTTTAATTTTGGAAACTGAGAAAACTCACTTCAAAAAAAATTTAAAGTCGTGTCTCAACCTCCCCAGTAACTGGGATTACAAGCATGCACCACCATGCCCGGACAATTTTGTATTTTTAGTAGAGACAGGGTTTCACCATGTTGGTCAGGCTGGACTCAAACTCTTGCCCTCGGATGATCCACCCACCTTGGTCACCCGAAGTACTGGGATTACAAACATAAGCCATTGCTTTAACCCAGGAGTTGGAGGATGCATGAGCCAAGATCGTGCCATTGCACTCCTGCCTGGGCAACAAGAGCAAAACTGTTTCCAAAAATTAATTAAATAAATAAATAAAACTTTAAAAATTAAAAATTCAAAAAAAAAAAACGAAGTCAAGAAGTGAATTATAATTATGCATGCACTTTTATCTCAGCAACTCTACTTTCAATTATACACTCAACAGATATGTATACATATGGAAACCTAGTGCTCTATATGACATGGACAGTAAACAGGAAAATACTGGGTAGAAGTGGTTGGTTCCCCTGCAAAGGTCCCACCCTCAAGCCTGAAAACTCTTGGCCCTAAATGAGAAGAGACATTCTGTTTTTGAGGCCCAAAGTTGCCGTTTGGCCCACCATGCACCCCTATTCTGTACACATATAAACCCCAAGCCCCCAGCATGAACAGAAGAGCAGAAGAATGGCAGAATGATGCATCAGAGGGAAGAGAAGGAGTTTCTGAATGTCGAGAGTAGTTCAGCTGAAGACAGTTAGAGAGGAGAGGAGATTGGATGCTGGATGACCAAACTCCAGAGGAAGATCATCTTCCCACTCCATCACCATTCCAGCTCCCCATTCATCCCACTGAGAGCCACCTCCACCACTCACTAAAACCCCTGCATTCATCCTTCAAGTCCATGTGCAACCTGATTCTTCTTGGATGCTGGACAAGGACCTGAGTACTAAGAGGACACTGAACTGGTTAACACTTAAGTCATCAGTACATGGCAAGGCTAAAAGAGTACACTAACACATACCTATTTGGGCTTCAGGAGTTGCAGACACCCACCCCTGTATGCTGCCGTGGGGTCAGAGCCCAGGGGCGCTCGCCCAGGCTCCTGCACTTGCCTGTTTGCGTGCTCCCTCTCCTGTAAGGGGCTTGAATGTGCATGGTGACTGAACAGATGAGCCACACAGCTGTCACACATCTTGTGAGGGGGGGCAAAGATCTCTTGCATTTCGTATACAAGAATGTTTATGACAGACTTATTAATATTGTCCAAAAATTGCTAGTAAACCAAATGTCTATTGCTCATAAAACGATGACATAATCACTGGTTTAGCCATCAACCAAATACTACACAGGAATGGTATTAACCAACAACTGCTACACAAAAGTTTTAAAAAATAGACTCTAATGAATATATGTTATATAATTCAGTTACATAAACAAGGAAAATTAATGTATGATATTTGAAGTCAGGCTACTATTTAATTGGAGGACAAAAGTAGTGACTAAATGGTTCAGGACAAGAGAGTTAGTCTAAGCAGGTTGTGACATCCTACACCATGATCTAAAGAGGAAGTAAATTGGTATCTTCTCTTCAAGATAATGTTCAAGATGATCTTACACTTTTGACCTATTCACTTAGTTTATGTATATTTATCTTTTGGCTTTAATATTTAAAGGTTCATTTTATAAGATATATAATGTACTTAAAATTCTAAGAATCGAATATCAAAATAAGCATAAAACAGTAGAGAAAATCCTAGAGGTTCCATCATAGTGTGGCCAGGAAAAGCCTCTCTTAGAGGTAACACTTAGAGGGAAGCCTCAAAAAGAGATAGAAGCATGCCTTGGGTTGTTGCAAGAAAGAATGTTCCAAGAGCACAAGGAGGGGGCAAAATGTGTAAAGATGCTATGGTCAGAACACTTTTGGCACCCTAAAGAAAAATAGAAGGCCAATGTCTCTAGAAGACCTAGTGTGTATAGAAAAATTGTTAGGAGAAGAGCTTGCCAGTGTTTGACATTGCAGGGTCCTGTAGGCCAAATAACAGAGTTGGATTTTATTCTTAATATGATGAGAAGTCAGGCAAAAATCTCAATTAGGGGAGTGGCAAAATCTGACTTTTATTTCAAAAATATCATTTTGGCTACTGGGTAGGAAACAGTAGGAGACAAAAGGTAGGATAGAAGCAGAGTGACTAGTCAGCTATGAGGCATTTCACTCAGCGTGACACAATTCCTTTTTGGAACTTAAACATGATAATTCTCAAATTGTATTTCCACTATCTTTCCTAAAGCACTTAAAATTGCTCATGACATTGCCCACGTTCTTATATGCCTGTTTGAGAACTAAAAGAGTATAATTGGATTGTTCACAACACAAAGGATAAATGTTTAAAGGAGGGATACCTTATTCTCCATGATGTGATTATTTCACATTGCAGCCTGTATCAAAACATCTCATGCAACCCGTAAGTATATATACCTGGTAAATACCCACAAAAACTAAAAATTAACAAACTAAAAAATAATAATAAAATGGCTTACATTTGTTTTTCCTGTAAGAAATTAATTTTCCTGACTTTCCATTTTACTTTATAAAATTTGTCAGTGATAAAATTCCAATGTAAAAGCCAAAGTTTCTATGATGACTCAAACAAAATTGCACAAACTCTATGTCAATTATATGTCATTTACTTTGAATCATTTGTCAATTTAAAAATCTTTCATGTGCCGGGCGCAGTGGCTCATGCCTGTAATCCCAGCACTTTGGGAGGCTGAGGTGGGTGGGATCACCTGAGGTCAGGAGTTCGAGACCAGTCTGGCCAACATGGAAAATCCCTGTCTCTCTCTACTAAAAATCCAAAAAGTAGCCAGGCATGGTGGCGTGAGCCTGTAATCCCAGCTACTTGGGAGGCTGAAGCAGGAAAATCTCTTGGCACTACGGGAGGTGGAGGTTGCGGTGAGCCGAACCTGCACCACTGCACTCCAGCCTGGGCAACAGAGTGAGACTCTGTTTCAATAAATAAAAAAATAAATAAAATAAAAATAAAAACCTTACATGAACTTGATATGCTCAAGAAAATAAACTTACTTTCAATTTTGATATCTCTATGTTAATCCTTCAGATACAAAGAGAACACTATGAAGTTATCAAGAATTTGTCATGATCAACCAGTAAAGGTTGAGCAGTCTTCTGGACTGAATTTGTCAGGCACCATAAAGGAACCAAGCACCCTCAGGTTGCAGCCCATGACCTCACCTGTTTCCAGTACCACTCTTTGGATGTGATTGGGTTCCTGCTGGCCTGTGTGGCAACTGTGATATTTACCATCATAAAATGTTGTATGTTTTATTTCTGGAAATTTGCTAGAACTGGAAAGAAGGGATAAAGAGATTAGCTGTATTTGAGTCTTGAAGCTGGGAAACCAGATAGATGGGACTTCTTCAGTTTATTCCAGCAAGAAAGGTTATGATGCAAAATTCCTTTCTTTCTGTGACAGAAAATCTGTTTAAAACTTACTTACCTTGTCAAATAAAAATTTGTTTTCATAGATTTAATACCTGTTTAACGGTTAGAAATACTTTTTGTCAAGAGGGAAAATACTGGCAAAATTATTAAATAGTATAAAGCCATACGAGCTGATATTTGAATTTGTCGAGCTTATATTGAAATTTGTTGCTCCCATTCACAGGTTCCGTGAAATAATTTTTACAGAGTTTAAGTACATTTCACATATTTTACTTAAACACAAGAATATTAAGAAGTCCACTGACAGTATTGGTACTGTTTTGCAAATACTCAGATTACTTGGCTTCACTTTGAGCAGGATTTTCATATTTTACTGTTGTTAAAGGAATTATTAAACAATTGAATTGTATTAAAAAACTCTCTCTTCCTTTTAATAATTTGAAATGAGTAGTGCTGCTTGGCCTTTACGGTGCATGCTGCTTCAGCATCAGTTTTTTCCCAAAACTTGTGGCAAAATGTTTATTATTTTAGAGCTTTGCTCATTTCCCCAGTAGAATATATGTGGAATTAGAAATGTAGCTACTGCTACCTGCTTTCTACAGTAATATTGAACGATTTTACTAAGTCTTTGGTTCTATGAGCCAATTCAGGCTTGCCATGTGATATCAAAAAAATTAAGACATCTTTGTCCAAAAAAAAAAAAAAAATAGAAATGGAGAAATGAGAGAGTGAGTGGTGAAGAGAACACCAGACTAAAAGTCAGGAGAGCTGGGGTCCAGTCCCAACCTTCTGCTGGGCCAATCTTTCACCCTGAGCCTAAGTTTACCTATTTTTTCTGGTCATTTAAAAATATTCATCGGTTGACTTTATTCTCGTATTTTAAATTATTTCAATAAATTTTAGGGAACACGTGGTGTTTTATTAGATGGACAATTTCTTCAGTTGTGATTTCTGAAACTTTGGCACACCCATCACCCAAGCAGTGTATACAGCACCCAAAGTGTAGTCTTTTATCCCTCTTCCCGTTCCGACTTTTCCCGGAGTCCTCAGAGTCCATTATATTACTCTTAAACCTTGGCGTTTTCATTGCTTAGCTCCCACTTACAAGTGAGAACATCCAATGTTTGGTTACCTAATCCTGAATTACTTCACTTAGAATAATGGTCTCCAACTCCATCCTGGTTGCCATTAATGGCATTATTTTGTTCCTTTTTATGGCTGAGTAGTATTCCAAGGTGTGTGCCTGTGTGTGTGTGTGTGTATGAGTGTGTGTATCACATTTTCTTTATCCACCCATTGGTTGATAGACATTTAGGTTTGTTCCATATTTTTACAGTTGGGAATTGTACTGCTGTAAAGATGTGTGTGCAAGAATCTTTGCATATAATGATTTCTTTTTTTCTGGGTAGATACCCAGTAGTAGGATATCTGGGTAAAAATGTAGATCTACTTTTAGTTCTTTAAGGAATCTATATACTGTTCTCTATAGTGGTTGTGCTAGTTTACATTTCCACCAGCAGTGTAAAAGTGTTTCCTTTTACCACATCCATGCCAATATTGTATTATTTGGGGTCTTTTTAATGATGTCCATTCTTACAGGAGGACAATGGTATTGCATTGTGGTTTTGATTTGTATTTCCATGATAAGTAGTGATGTTGAGCATCTTTTTATGTTTTATGGACATTTGCATATTTTCTTTTGAGAACTGTCAATTCATGATCAGCCTACTTTTTAATGGTACTGTTTATTTTTCTCTTGTTAATTTGTTTGAATTGTTCATAGATTCTGAATATTAGTCCTTTGTCAGGTGTATAGTTTGTGAATATTTTCTCCCGCTCTGTGAGTTGTCTGTTTACTCAGCTGATCATTTCTTTTGCTGTGCAGAAGGTTTTTAGTTTAATTAAGTCACATCTATTTATCTTTGTTTATGTTGCATTTGCTTTTGGGTTCTTGGTCATGAAGTCCTTGTTAAGCCAATGTCTAGAAGAGACTTTCTGATGTTATCTCCTAGAGTTTTTATTGTTTCAGGTCTTAGGTTTGATTTTTTCATTCATCTTAAGTAGATTTTTTTTTAATAAGTCGAGAGATGTGGATTCAGTAC